AAAGGACTTGTATCGGGAAAGTTTCATCGGAAAGAATTTTTACGAAAAATTAACTAATGAACGGAGACGCAACAATAATTTCTGTATCAGACAAGTTAATGAAGATAGAATGAGGACTAAAAAAATCTTGATCTTTCAGTTCAGGCCAGCATTAAATAAATAAGTCTGTGCAATGCCTCTACTTCTTAAACTGTAAGTCTGTACAGAGCAAATTAAATGTTACAAACTGATTTACACTGGATCTAAAGTCACTATTATTTGGCCAGATACAAGCTCCAAAGATGGAAAATTACTTTCACAAATGGATATAATGAACTGATGAGAATTGTAAATGATGATAAGATTCAAGTTAAGTAGGAGTTTTAATTAATATACCAAAGACAGAAACAGTAAAGAACTCAAAAATCCCAAAAAGTATACAAGAAAACAAAATATCTTTGGAATTAATAGTACAATTAACTCTCTCAATACTGATAGGTAAAAGTGCATGTTATGCCTTTTTCCAGAGTTACATTCAAAGTTTAATTAAACTACTTTATTATCAATATATATGAATAAACTTGGCATCAAAATGTAGTTAATAACCCAGATTTGAATACTATATATATTTTAATTCCTTTATTTCAAAAGGAAATACTTAAATAAATTCTCAGTCTCTAGTTGTCTAAGTAACATGACATTTGTTCACTCTGACTTGTCCATTTTGAACTTTTTCATCACCCCTAAATGATGTCCTAAGTTTAACATAGATTACTCATTACAGTTCAGGTATTACTAAGACATATTCTGGTTTTTATAGCTTTTAGCATTCAATCTCCTTTGTTTACAGAGTTATAAATCACATAATAAAACCACTTGCCACACCTTCCTATCACATCCTCTCTTTTATAAATTACCAGTAATTCTCTCTGATGTTTGTTATTAGATCATTTTAACTAATAGAAAGACAAAGTATTAACTTACCGAATGATGTATAAGATTACATCGTTCTCAGTAGAGGTGTTTAGTTATTTCATCTACTGACTGAAAGTTGATACCGCTGAGTTCAGATTGAACAGTAAAGGGAATTAATTTAAGACACTTATGTCTTAGTTAGAAAGCCAGTTATATTATAATAGTTATAGGACATTGTATGGTTTGTGCATGTTGTTATTTTGTGTTCTTAAGTGAATATCTCAAATAAAACAGTCTGAGTCACACGTTGACTCAATATATATTCACAGACAAGTCTTTACTAAAAATACTTAATTAAGAAAATCTGATTTTCTGTGTACAAATACTTGTATTGTTTACTAAATGCTTGCTAAATTTCATGAAGATGCATAACTACATTAAAAGTTATAATTTGTATACTTTCATGGTTACCTGGTGGTTCAAGATCAGTCAAAATGATTAAGCCCCTATAGAGAGAATTAATATATTATTAAGTCACCTAAAAAAATGAAGAAACATCATAATTTATTGAAAATAGAGAAAAACAGAAATTCAATGCTCTTAAGAACATCCCTACCAATCTCTAAAGATTTATTGACCATAGACATAAATACCAGTCACTAAGCATAATAAGTTGTGCTATCACAACTGCATGATAAAAAAGTTGATAATTAAATGAATCCATAACTTCATGACATATAAGATCTGCATGATACATAAGAAACTGCTAACCCTTGTATGAGCTGTAAGTGAGTGTTTTCTACTAAGAGATAATTAATGCATTTTTAGAGTACCAAAAAGCACATGACTACATAAACTCCAAAACAAAGTCTTTACTAGAATAATTTGTCAAAAGACATATCATATATTCTGCCAATAAGGTTCTTGAGGGTTAGAGAAAGTGAAGTACAGCAATAGTAGGGATTATTTTAAGATTTTCATCCAGAATGCTAGAATTAAACATGTAAGATCAACTGAAAATGGAATTGACAGACCATCTTGCAATCAAGTACCTCCACACAATGTGCTGGATAAAATTTATTTATTTTAGTGCCATTTACTTCAGCTTTAAGACAATATTGTGTAGAATAAAAATGGTCATACAAAAGGCTAAACAAAACAGTTACAGTTGGTACTACCAAGATGAAATCTTCCAAAAGCTGGAAACAACAGGATTTAAGAATACCTTGGAAGGAGTGCATGAAAAATTCCACTGAACTGACTACTGTCAATTTATGGAAGAGTAATGCCAAATCTCTAACTTGTGTTCTAAAAAAAAAGTACTAGAAAAGAAAAAGCAGAGGAGACAAATACAAAAATTACAGAAGTTTTAATGTATTTCATCCAGTACCACAGATTAATACTGGACACCAATACAACATACTTGGAATAGACCTTTTATAAAGAGGCTGGAAGTGTCTTGAGTACCAAATAAAGATAATGAAACATTGTTACAAAATTTGACCAATGAGCCTGTTTCAAGATAAGCAGCACCCAAAGAACCTCTATATGACCAAGGATATAAATCAGTGCTTTTTGCTAAAATGTATTAACTTTAGAAAGAAAACCAAGACAACTATCCTTCCTCCTTTTTCAGGTAGAATCATATAAAAGTAGAACTAGACAATAATGAACCAGAAAGTCATGGAATGAATAACATAATATCTGACACTCTTACCAACAAGCTACTATACATAAAGCCATGGGTTACATACTAACATCTCTCATGTTTGATAAAGAACTGAGAGTCCTGTCCCAATCTCCTTAACAGTCAACACCATGAAATGAAAATGAGTTTGCTTTCCACCATTCACTTGATTGCACTGTTCAGGGGTTTGACAATGAGAAGTTGAAGTTAACCAAGGGCATGATAATGATAAGAAACCTGACAACTCAGGATTTTAGCAGTGGGATATAGAGTGATTAAAAGCCAAGAGGAAGAAAAAAAGATACACGTCCAATGTTTCATACAACAGTGAGACAACCCCTGTTTACTTGGTGAAAAATATCAGCAATACAGAGTGCTATATTTCAAGGAATACACATGTCAGGCCAAAGATTATTCAACATAATATGTTGAAATACCACCTGAAAACATAGCAAAACTGGATAGGGATTCTTCAAACAAAATATCAGAAAAAGAAGAAATAACCTGAGATATAATACACAAAATTAAGCCAGATTCAGACTTTTAAAACTGCTTCTTAGAAAAGAAATAAGCTCTCAATAAAAATGTTTTCCAGGGATGAAGAAAAAATGTCCAAAGCAAGCAATAGTCCTAATGATATGGAAGAAAAAACTTCTCCTCCAATTAGATCTCAGGACAAATTAAAAAATTGTAAGATATATTAATTATGAAAGTTACTGAAAGGGTTTCAAAATTTATGGAGATTGTAGTATTAAGCAATAGAATGTCATTATTATTTGTAAATGATATACTGGTGCAAGTTTCAAAATATTTTGAATTTTTCTTTGAATATCTGTTGATTGTTTTTAATATTTTTGATACTTAACAGCTACAATTTAGTCCAAAAGGTGGTACTTTTGTTTGAATATCACAGAATTTTTCAAGAAAAATGTTACTATTAATTTTAACTTTTGACCAAAGCAAGCTACCTAAACAAACCAGAAGTAAAAATTAACATAGTAATGGATCTTTTTGTTTGTTATTAAGCATAAAACTACACAATGGGCTATCTGTATTCTACCAGTCATAGGTATCGAACCCCAATATTTTGTGTTACAAACCCTCAGACTTACTGCTGAGCCACCAGGGCATTATAGTAATGAATATAACTAACTTAAGATGTTAGGAAAACTCAAAGGTTCGAGAAATTAATTTAACCCAAATATACAAAACATTATAACCCAAATGCTTTTGAAAGGCCCTTCAAAAGCACTTGGGTCATAAGGTTTTGTACCTTTGTATAACTAATTTAATATTCTATTCTTATTTTAATAATTAGAATGGCAAGGAAAAATTATAGAAAATGTTTCAATAAATCTTAGAAAGGAAATGACAGAGTACTTATGAAGGAAGAATCAAGAGAATTACTTTACCAACTTCTTTTCTTGAATTGTAAAACCTGCAAATAAGTTATTAGATTTAAAATACTGTATATCTCAAAACTCATCAAAATGTCTGTGATTTATACGTTAGTCCTAAAATAAATTAATAAAAAGCTTAACACAATTTTTGCAATCACTAGAGATAAGAACTTCGTTTAGATATTATAACTGAAATATAAAGTAATGTATCACATTTCTTTTAAACCTATAATTATTTTAAGGATTCTAAGTAAATACTTAACTAACCTTCTTCATGTTCTTCTACTGCATGGTATAGTGCTGGTTCATAGGCAGCATGTAGGTTGACAGCTACAGATGTAATGGGAAAGTTTTCTCGAGCTGTTTGTTTCTTGTCTTCTTCTGCTTCCAAAGCTCTGTGTATCAACTCCACCTGTTGTTTCCTTCGAGTCTTTGTGGCTGTTACAAAGGACCTCTGCAACTGTTCCACAGACACAAAAAGAAACTTACAAACAAATATTGACAATACCGATGTCAAGCCACCTGCTAATGTTAGTATTATTCACCGGATGCTCACTAAAGTAAAAAGTTTAATAGCATAAAAAAAAGAGCACATAATTGTACTTCTAAGCAAGACAGACATAGAAACCCGGTATTCCTTAAGAAGAACTATGCAGTATAATGTTGGCCTTTTTCTTTAATCATCTTACTTGGGAATAATATACTTTAAAATGTTCATATTATAAGGCTTTATAGGAGTTTATTAACAAAGCAGAAGTTTTATATCTGAAGTTATACTGCTTGGAAAATCTGCAATATTATTAAATGAGAATGGAATCTTTCTCATCTGCATTTCTTTTTGATAAAAGTAATCATTTTGCTTATTACTAGTATTGGATACACATTTGTTGCATTTCTGTTTGTACTTTTTTTCACTAAAACTTATACCACAAATCATTTTACAAAAAGTAGCACCTAAGTCTGAATTTAGTACATAACCTTGACAAGATTTAGTATGCACCAAATCAAAACTTTAAAATTATCAAATTTTTTTACCATAATACGAATACACTATAGAAGATACAGGTGTGATATTGCATATCACACTGACCAATAATGAATGCTTATCCTTTTAAAATATAAAACTTTATCAATAATCCTAGATAAGCATGGTCCCTCTATTTTTCAAAATATAAAATTTTTACCGATTGATCCTGATTGATGGTGACCTCTTCTACTTTTGTTTTCACGTGAGGCAACCATGGAGGGTCAGCAATAGGTACAGAGTCTATGGCTATCTTTGGTGAAGGGAGTGTGAACTCAACAACTGGGGGAGGCACCTAGGGTAAATGAATATTAAGATCTGATAATCTTGTTTATTCTAATAATGCAACATAGCACAGTAAATTCATTTCAAAAAAATGTGTAAGTTAAGAATACATTATCAGTTCATAAAAATAATTAAAGTTTATAATATTAAAGAACAATTAAAGACTTAAAAGCCAAAATACTAATTAGAAGTGTAAAATTTGCAAGAATATTTAAAGGTTAAATTTATCATTATGCGAAAGTTTAAATTAAAAAATAATTTTCTCATTGTATTAAAATGCTAAATATTTATAGTGTTCATTATCAGAAATGTCAAGATTGTTAAAAGTTTCAAGGAATTTTATAAATATATCAGATGAATTAACATTAACTGATTTTTAGAACAGTAACAATGGCCTCATGAATGTGGCTATAAATACAAAGACCTGTATCTTCCTATGAAACAATACACTTTTCTTTCTCATTATCTCTTAAATATTGAAAGAACAAAATGAGCAATTCAGGTGTCACTGACCTTAAAATACATTTGTGCTCCATCTTCCATCCTTGGCCAACACTGATTTCTAAATTGCCATAGGGCATGAAACCTAGAAAAAATCTCAAAATTGTTTTTACTTGTAATTATCAAACACATTCATCATTAACACCATGACACAGTTTTTTCAAATGACAAGCATACTGAAGAATATAATTGTAGCTTACCCTAGCAACTATTGAGGTAAATGTCCATAACCTAAGCACTTTAGGGATATGAACTATAAAAAAATTACATAACTGAAATTATATTTTTTGGTATTTTAAAAAATCAAATGAATTTAAAAAAAGTTCAAATGACTAACAATCTGTCTTAGTTAGGTCAATATTCAGTCACTACTTGCAATTCTTCCAGAAATGTTTGAGATAGTTGTAAAAGAATTTAAACATTAGGTATTATTGTAGACAATGTGTATTTTCTCACTGCTTTCTTCACTGTATGCAGAGGTAAACTTGTGCTACTTGTGCCAGCACACTGGTCTAGGTGATACTGTTAACACACACAATACATCACTATTTCAAGTGGTAAATTACATTTTCTGTAGAAACAATGTAAAACTACTTATATATACAAACTATATTTTGTTGTAGAAACAACAGCTATCAACATTTAAAGAGATATACTTTATATTTCGTTAAGTTGTCCTTGGACTGAATACATCAGTAATCTTGGGCTTGTGCAATACTTTTGTAATAAAGGGTGCTTTGTAAAGCACATAGCCAAAAGTTTTTAATGAGTGAGTAGCATCCATATGTTGCTTTCTAATGAGCAAAATAACATCTGGAAATTTTACATAAAAGCTGTGACAAAGAGCACTGTTAGTCAGTCAGTTTTGGAGAGCCTGCCACCAGCTACCAGTCAGCAATACAAAATTATGAGTTTGCAAAGCCACCAACCAACCATGCCCATTTTCATCTCCCATGCAAGTTTCAGATTACCAATGAGTATAAGTTCTTTATACATAGATAAAAATGAACAGATTTGTTTGATATAGTATTAAGTAACAACTGACAACATAATGCACTTTGAGTAATGGTTAATAACAGGACTATACCCATTGTATTGTGAATATTGTTTGCTAATGAATGTTGTATGATTCCTAACAAAAACCTCCAACTCTTTCCTGATTCTCACATAAATCTTTTTGAGTTGGTGATCGGTGTACTAACACAGATACATTAATACTACTTGTAATGAGCAACTGTCCTCATACAGTGTATGTTACATTAATTTACCAAATAGTATCTAGTTTCTGTTTTAAAAAAATTCTACAATTTAATTTAGGTTTTCAATCAACTTTTAGGTCATGAAATTTCCAAACTTTTATTGTGAGACATTGTTTTGATAAACAAAACACAAATAAAACATTAAAATATTTCCTTTCATCTTAGAATTTCATTTTGTTATTGTTTATCAGAAAGTTTCATTTTATATATGCAGTCAATTTCAACTTGACTGATATTCATTAATATATTTTTTATGCTATATTTTGATAATTGCAGTAGTCATCATTTTTGTTATAAGTCATAAAAAACACTATATAAGCTGGCAAAGATTTATTAATTACTCAGGAACTGACCTTTCAAAATGGTTTGAAAAATAGGCTAGGTAACAATATTTTGGCTAACAATATTCTTGGTTGACATTAATTTATATCTAACAAATACAGTTTCTTTTCAATAAATACATATTTTTAATTATACGTGTTACTTAAATATAAACTTAACAATAATATTCAATAAATAATGAATTGAGTAATCAGAATATTTTGTCATCACCTACAATACTTGCTAAGCCTACAGTGGTGGAAAAATTTACTGCATCACCCAATTTTTTCATTCTTTTCTTCAGAATCACCATCTGTTTTGAGGCCCTAATGGATGTAGATGCAAATGTGTTTCATGGATGATGCAATACTGTTTAATTATTACATCAGCAGCTTTATAGGCTGTCTGGGTATTGCTTCAGCCAGTTTTTGGCTATAAATAAAGGTTCTTACTGAGAGTCAGTTTAGAAGCCTATTTGCTACAATATGCATGTGATGCTACCATGGCCAAAGGTTGTAAGTCAACTCCACAGAGCAAACAAGGACTTTTGAACAGGCAGATTAATGTAAGAATTAAATTTAATCAATCTACTGTGAATTGCTTTATGCAGAGATATAGACAGACTGGCTGTATGGAGCAGCAGAAGGAATGGGGTAGGAAGAAAACTTCCACAGCAGCTGACAATCGTGTTTTGAAACACATAAGCCTGCAGAATTGTGGACTGTCATTCACAGATCCCAAAAGAGGATGTCAGGAAACTTCAGGTGTCACTGTTATTGCAAGCACCATCTGGTCTTGCCTGTGTTCAGCCAAGAAAGCAATCCCTCCTCATCAACCAGATGAAGTAGATGAGACTCACTTGGTTCAAAAAACATGCTGACTGGACTGAAGCAATTTGGAGCAAAGTGATTTTCTCAGTCAAATCACAGTTTAACCTACACAGGTCTGATGGGAAGCACTTTGTACAACTTCAATGTGGAGAAGAGTTTTATTCAGTGTGTTTGAATGCAACTGTGAAGCATCCATAGGGTCATGTGACACAGGGATGCATCTCTGGCCAGGATGTTGAATGCCTGCATTTTGTGAAAGGCACTGTCAATGCTGACAAGTACATCAAGATCCTCAAGTCTTGGTTAAAGCCAACAATTCAGGACCATTTCAGGGAAGCTCACCAATGCACATTCCAGAATTACTTTGCTCCATGCCTCAGGGATAAAAATGTTGTTAATATTCACACACTCTATGCAGTGAAATAAAGAGGAATTTCACTCTACAGGTATTGAAAAGACATCTTAGATTTATTTTATTGCTTCAGATGAAGGACTAGCTTCAACGGAAGAAAATTAAAATACTATGCTGGTCAGGCAACAACCCAGATAATTGGTAATAAAGTGCAAGAGAATAAACCGAGAAGTACCTTGGAATTTAGGAAGCTCTAATCTGTATGTGGCATCATGAACTCAACCCTGCTTACTTTCAGTCCCTCGTACACTCTATGCCACAGTGATGTCAAGTAGTTATCAAAGCCAGAGGGGCATAAGTTAACGAAATATTAAAACAAGAAACAGATTCTGTGAACACTTTTTGTCAATTATAGTAGTGACATTATCATTAAATCTAGGTTTTCTAACTCAGAGAACATTTTCGTGTTTGCCAAGTATTTGTTGATCATCAGCTGTAATACGGTTGGCACGGTTGATTTGTTAATAAAGATGCATATATGTGTTTCGATGACTGAAATATGTGTCAGCTTACACAGACACATTATCCATAACCATTTTATTCTAGTTTTAACACTTCCACAATGCACAATCTGGTAAAGAGATGTACAGTAACCAAGAAAAATGTTAAAAAAATTGGGTGATACAATACATTTTTACACCACTGAAAGTTTACCTGATGTCTTGTTGTGAAAGAAAATCTCAGTAGCTTTACCACAATATAATTCAACACAAAAACATTTTCAGAAATGAAAAGAACATATAGAGAAGCTATAAAAAATTACCATGTCTGTAGTTTGTTCCTTCACTCTATGTGAATGACTGGGTCAAGGTGTGTATTTTCTAACCTTGTACATACTTCAAAATTCAGTAGAATAAATATATGTAAAAAAATCTTAATCTTCACTTCTGTGTATCATTTGACACTTCTTTGTTCCACACTGTGCATTTTAGATATTCTCTCTAACACTATTTGAGCTTCTGAGATTAATACAAATTACAAACTTATAGTATAAATATTTCTATGACATAATCTAATTTTATAGCATCAAATCTTCTTGCTTTACGGAGATATAAACCAGAAAGTCAAACCCATTTGTCATGCACCCTCCTATCACATACTGTCTTTCAAAAAATGTCAATAATTCTCTCTGATGTTTGCTATTACATTATTTATAGCCAATAGAAATATTTTAATTTACTGATTTACATATAAGATTAACTCATTCTTACAACAGTTTATGAATAATTCAGCCTATAGATTCAAAGTTGCTAATGCCAAGTTCTGGTTTATTAATGAAGATTTAAGCAATATTCCTCATCCTGAACAATTGCTAGATGGAAACAAGATGATCACATTAATTCTGAACTTGTTAAAAAACTTGAGAAATGTTAAGAATGATAAAGATTCTGGGCCAGATAATATTCAAAATATTTACTCAAGGGTTTTGAAGGAGGTTGAGGATTAGATATGTGAGACACTTACCACTATTTTTTCAAAGTCTGTGAACAGTGGGTAGGTGCCAGAAGATTGGAAGTTGGCTAATGTTACTCCTCTTTTCAAGAGATGTGATAAAAATTGTTCCAGTAATTATAGACCTATTAGTCTTATATCAGTGGTGGGAAAAGATGTTGAAAGTTTGATAAAAGATGCTTTGCAAAGTCATTTAACAAAGTTTAAAATTTTGTTGGATAATCAGCATAGTTTCACTGGGGGAAAATCTTGCCTTACTAATCTTTTGACATTCTTATTAGAGGTTATTGCTTAAGTAAATGAGGATAAGGGTGTGAATTTGATGTATCTAGATTATCAGAAAATATTGGATAAGGTGCTACATAAAAGGTTATTAAAAGGTTCTTTTTAGGTATGGTTGTTAGGTTGGCTTATTGGAGAGAAAATTGGCTTGATGAAAGTTGGGCAGAGGATTGTTATCAAAGGATAACTAGATTCATGTAACAAGTGGAGTACCCTGGGCTCAGTGTTAAGACCTTTGATCTTTTTGATTTACATCAATGGCATAGATGTAGGAATGGTCAATAAATCATTTAAATTTGTTGATGATATTAATGTTTTGGGTGTTACTGAGTGTGAAGCAGATGTTGCTGCTTTGCCAAAAAAAATTGTATTATTTCGTACATTGGGCAAAGAAATGGCAGATGGCTTTTAAGTACAAAGAATGGCATGTGGGATATCACAATTTGAATTATGAGTATACTTGTGATGAGAATAACCTAAACAGTGTTATGGAAGAAAAAGATCTTGGTGTTCTGGTTGATCAATCTCT